GCGCGCGCACGTGCACACAGGTGTGTAAAACTGTCAGTGAAAGGAGAAAGGCAGAGGATCCACTGCGTGCGCAAGGTAGGTTGTCAGAGGATGAACTGCCATGGGGGTGATCCCCTTGGCTGGTGCCCTCCCTGGAAGGGCCCTCAGGATGCAGGGTAAAGGGAGATGAGGGAGAGGGGATGGAGGGAGAAAGCCCAGAGCTGGACCTGTGGCCCCTGGCCTGTGGGCGCTGTAGAAGAAGTGTGCTCAGCAAATGTCGCGGGCACATGGGACATCTTTCAGTGGACTCTTGTGGGCCCTAATTTTGGTTAAGTATAAATTCCTTTTTAAAATTAGTTCTTTGAGGGGGGTCAGAGCAGAGACCCAAAGCCCATCTAGACAATGGGACATCGCCTCACAGAAGGGCCACCAGGAAGAGATGAGTCCACCAGGGCACAGCATAGCACCGATGAAACACACAACATTCTCTGTTCCTTGGAGCTTCCTCACCCCTCAGGTACAGAAATGGGAGCAGCAATACCAGGAGGGCTGGGGGGAGGAGGGGAGGAAGGGTGAACCGATCACAAAGATCTACACAAAACCACCCCCACCCCTCAGGGAGACAAATAACAGAAACTGTGGGGGAAGGGAGACACTGGTTGGTGTACGATATGAAAATAATTTATCAAGGGGTCATGAAGGGCGGGGGGAGAGGAGGTGATACCAAGGGCTCAAATAGAAAGTAAAGGTTTAGAAAATAATGATGGCAACATACGTACAAATATGCTTGACAAAATTGATGTATGGATCATTATGAGAGCTGTAAGAGTCCCCAATAAAATGATCTTAAAAAAAAAAAAGTTCTAACTTACTGTGGCTGCCCTAAGCAGAATGAACCTGTGGTCTGGCCTGGAAGTGAGTAGCAAACGGCAGAAAGAGGGCAACTGGGGAAAGGAGGGGGCCCTCCACACTGGCTGGTTCCCCCTCAGTGTGGCCAGCCACACCACACAGCCCTGTCACTTCCCATGAGTCCAATACATGCTCCCATCAGCCCTTTCTCTACCTCCTTCCCGAGCCCCTGCCTGCCCGCCTGTCCTCAGGTGTGGAGGTCAGTCTGGCTGTTGTGGGGGCGGCCCAGCCCCTGCTCCCGGCAGACCCCTGCTTACCAGCTCCTTCCTCCTGTCCCTCTTAGTCTCCTGGTTGAGCCTCGAGATAATGAACTGCTTTTCAAAAGCCCTCTGACTTGGGTCGGCTGTCTTTTCCACTTCTTCAAGCAGTTGCTTCTTTTCTACACAGGTGATCGTTTCCGGCCTGCAAAGAGGGCATTACTTACCTCCACACAAACGGCACTGCTTTTCAATAACGGTCTGAGATGCCATGTAAGGAAGTCAGTCTTCATGAAAAGGAAAGCGGGAATAGACACCACCGCCCCCTCCCCCCCTGGGGTGGGGAGATGCCCTCAAGTCGGTTCTGACCCATCAGGACCCCATACACAGCGGAATGAAACACCGCCGGGCCGCCCCGTCCACACAATGCTTCCTCTGCTTGAGCCCACATATCAATCCATCTTCTGTGGGTCTTCCTCCCCTCACGGCCCCTCCACTTTACCAAGCTGGATGTCCTTCCCCAGGGACTGGTTTCTCCTGACATCGTGTCCAAAGTGTGTGAGCTTTGAAGCTAAGCATAGGTGTTGCGAAAGCCTTAAGTGGACGGTGAGTCACGGACCCTCTGGGCGCACTGAGTGTACGGGCGGTGGGCATTCGAGCCACACTTGGGGCTCCGAGGGTCCATCGCTCGAGCTGTGGTTGGGCAGCCTGCACACCACCCCAAAGGCCTGGCTGGACTAGCACACCTTTGCCAGAACACAGAGAAGCAAGCAGAGAAAGCCAGTGTGTGGGAACGGAGAAATGCAAGCGGTTCACACACACAAAGAAACAAGGACGAAGCCCCAAAGAGGAAGGGGCTGGCTTCTGGTCCCCAAGCAGTTTGCTTTTCCTCTTGGCCTTGACTCTTGGCATAGTGGCACACACCTAGGAACCAGATGGTGCAGTGGTTACCCACAATGCTGCTAGCCCCAAGGTTAGCAGTTCAAAACCACCAGCCGCTCTGCTGGAGGGAGATGAGGCTTTCTGTTCCTGTAGAGATTGACCGTCTCAGACACCTACGGGGCAGTTCTGCCCTGTTCTATAAGGTTGCTCTGAGTCAGAATCAACTACTGGCATGAAGCTTGGTTGTGCTTTGTATTTTGTTTCTGGAGCATGTGCTTAAGCTAAGTTCTATCATGTCTAATATGAAGGGGCTTCAGAAAGTTCACAGAAAAATTCCATTATCCGTTAACTCAATTTTTCCATGAACTTTTTTTAAAGCCACCTTGCTCTGAATTATTCTTACTGGATCCAACCACCAGCTGAGGGCCCATGGGATGCGTCAGAGCCTTTTCACTAGGCTGCCCGTCCCGAGGAAGCTGGTGGGGTTGTGAACTACACCCGCAGAGTTCTAGTCTCGGAAACCGACTGGGCGGCTCTACCCTGTCCTCTAGTCTTACTATGAATCAGAACCAACCAGGTGGTAAGAGCATTTGAGTGAGTCCTGGTCCTGCCCTGAGAAGCCCATCCCACGCGGAAAATGAGCCGTCCTCTTTCCTCCCTTCCTTCGCCGAGTAAGCATGTCATCACCATCTACGAAGTGCTGGGAACATGGAGATCAGTGACCCTGTTTCTGCTCTCTGGGGCTTGCAGCTAGGAAAGAGGCTGGTGGGAGGCAGTGGCACTGTGAGAACTCCCTTTCTCTCCGGTGCTGGGAGGGCTGGCCATAGCCATGAGAGCCATGGCCTGAGACCAGCCTGGCAGGTCAGCAAGCTTCCAAGGAGACTTTGGAAGCGGGCTGACCTGCTGAGGAGGTGCGGGGAGACAGGAATCGAGAGAAGTGAACCCATGAGTCAGGCGGCCTGAGAGTCCAAAGGGAACCATTCCCCCTTTGGGGCTGAGGCAGGAAGGGCTACTCCCAACCAGCACACACCTGCACCCTGGCTCCCATCCCCCAGGCCACTCAAGTGGAACCAGAGTTAAGGTGGTCCTAGGCTGATAGTCAGGACCCCTGGTGGTGGTGGTGGTGGCGGTGGTGAGGGCTACACACTGAGCTGTGAGCCACAAGGTCAGTAGTTCCAACCCACCTAGGGAGGAAAGATGAAGCAGGCTGTTCCCGCAAAGATTTAACAGCCTTGGAACTTATAGGGGCATTTCTTTCTACTTTCTACCTGTCCTGTAAAGCTGCTGTGAGCCGGAACCAACTCAGTGGCAGGCAGTTTTTGAGGTGAGGGCTGACAGTGTCCCCAGGCATGCTACTGAAACAAACAAGCATCTTCTTAAAAGACATGCTCTAGTCCTCAAAGTATTCTATCACAAAATCAAAGCTAACTAGACACACGAAGAAATAAGAAACTGAGCTAAAACCAGCACACACAAAAAACAACACCCAGAAACAGGGACTCCAGATGTTGGCACTGGTGGAAAAACAGGGTTACGTTTATTACATTTAATAGATGGAACCCTGGTGGGCTAATGGGCTGTGCCTTCATCTGCGAACCACAAGGTCAGCGGTTTGAACCTTCCAGTTGCTCCCAGGAGTTCTACTCTCATACGAGGTCACTGTGAATCAGAATCGACTCCACAGGTGTGAGTGATAGTGAATGAGCTAGAAAAGCAGGTTCTTACTCTAACGGTAAGAACCTAAAAACCCTGTCAAGTGATGAAGCGCCATAGGCCGTCATTTCACGGCCCGCAGCTCAGCTGGCATCATGGCATTCAGACCCTAAAACAGCAACAAACACTGCAGCCAGCGGTTCTCAGCCTGGGGGTCGTGACCCCTTTGGGGATTGAAGAACCCTTTCACAGGGAGCGCCCAATTCATCACAGTAGCAACATGACAGTGATGGAGTAGCACCGAAAATAATGTTATGGTTGGGGGTCACCACCACATGAGGACCTGTATGAAAGGGTCGCAGCCTGAGGAAGGCTGCGAACCACTGCCCCAGGGTTTCAGAGCTTGTAAATCTTGACAGGAACAGAGCCTCGTCTTTCTCCCAAGGAGAAGCTGGTGAGTAACTGCTGACCTTGTAGTTCACAGCCAGTCCAGTATTTAGCACAGTATGCTGCCAGGGTGCCTTGTTCCGTCACCGGTGGTGCTGGTGGTGGTGGTGTTAGGGGCCACCACGAACAAGAGGACAAAGCACTGCCTGGTCCTGTGCATTGTCCCCAATGTTTCTTAGGTGGGAGCTCGGTGTTTCAGCCACTGTGTCCACCCATCTTGTTTAGGGGACGTCCTCTTTTCCTCCACTTTAACAAATAGTGTGTCCTTCTCCAAGAACTGGTCTCTCCTGATAACTTGTCCGAAGTACAAGAGACAAAGGCTCACCATCCTTGCCTCTGAGGAGCATCCTGCTGCACTTTCCATTCCAAAGACAGATTCCAAGCCAAATCTGTTCTTTTGCAGTCTTTGGAACTTTCCATATTCTTCCCCAGCGCATAGGGTTAATGGCTCATCTTCCTTATCCAGTGATCTACTTTCACACACAGAGGAGGTGACTGAAAATAATGTGGCTTGGATCATGCACACCTTAGTCCTTAAAGTAGCACAACTTTTGATCTCTTGACTGCTGCTTCCATGAGCACTGATGATCCAAGCAAGACAAAATCCTCCCCACAACTTCAACCTCGACTCCCTTTATCAGGATGTTACTTATTGGTCCATTGTGAGGATTTGGGTCTTTCTTACATTGAGTTGTATCCATGCTGAAGGCTGCAATCCTTGATCTTCATCAGCAAGTGCTTCAAGTCCTCTTCAATTTCACCAAGCCAAGTAGAGTCATCTCTCTGCATATCACAGGTTGTTAATAAGCCTTCCTCCGAGCTTGAGACCACATTCTTCTTCAGATAACCCAGCTTCTCCGATGGTGTGCTCAATTCAGACACTAGCACAATATAATCAGTTAAACGCACAATCGGATACCACTTCACAGGCAGGAGGCTGGCTGTCAGCAGTCAAAGGAAAGATAAGACATGGAAACCACGTGAAGCTGGCTCGGCGGGAAGAAGGGGTCTGCCCTGGGCGGGCGCCGGGAGAGGGGGCCCTCGGTGATTTCCCAGGGCAGGCTGGGCGGTGTGTGAAGCTGTGTTATGTGTTGCCTGTATATTTCATAACCAAAGGGGGCACAGCGACGCGACACTGCAAGAAAGAAAACCGCGAGGAAGTGGGTAGCCTGGGACTCA